AGCCTGGAGGGCTGCCGATGATTAATAGTCGAAAGTCTTTTCCACTTGTTACGGGGTTAGGTTTGAAGTTTCGTTCGTGAACTGTTTGTCGAGCCGGCGTTGAGAATTCAGACGCTCGTTTTGCTCCGACTGGTGTAACTTGACAACGGTCGCGTCGTGAGTTTTACGCGCCGCCGTCGTAGGCGATAACGGGGCGAACGGCCTTATACACCCCCGCAGGCTGAGTAAGTGTGTGCGTGTGTGTGAATTGCGGTGGGGGCGGCAAGACGAGAAAGTATCACGCCGCTCGAGCCGAAAACGCCGCCCGAATCAGATTTATCAAAGTTGAAACACAGCCGAAGCTCTCGGCTGCTGCAAGACCGAACATTTCGACGAGTGTTATTAATCAACTCGATTTTAAAATGACACAATATGCAAAACATCACATTCCGCATTTCCAACGTTTTAAATTTAGCACTCATTACATTTAAATATTGTGTAAATACACTCGAGTTAAATTTAATGTTTAGTATGCTTATTATCAAGGCGTAGGTGTAATAATTAAATTGTGATGCTTGCAGTGCATTCTAGAGAGACGTTTTGCCATTACGTTGATTATATTCGCGTCCAGTGTGCGCGCATACTTTTTATTTTTATTTCCCACTGCGCATCTGCAGTTTTCAGCACATTAAAACCGCGCACATCTGCACGCATTGTAGCGGCGGTGACAACTGGTGTGAAAAATGCGCTTTGCAAATATGCACGAATTAAACTCTTCAACGTCCCGCGCTACGACGCGAGTGTAAATAATAAAAATTTAATAGTCAGCAGCACACGTTTCGAATTATTATTTTAATCAGCGTAAAATATATCCGACAAAAACTTATTCTTTTAAACAAGTGTAAAAATACTCACAATGTTCAACAAAATGTAAAAACACCTTTTTTATTTGCTTCTATTTTATACCACTACATTACTTCTACGCTCAATAAATGTACGTCAAGTCAAACATTGACTCTTATTAGATTTTCTACTAGTGAACACTTAAAATCAGGTTCGTAAAACTTCCTGATGCATGAAGCCCAAAATACAATCCTATTTAGTTAGCGTTCCAATAGTTAAATGCACATGTTAGCAAAAGAGGCAAAAATATCCCTCGAAGGAAAAAAAGGGTTGCGCCACTGCTGCGGCTTCGATTCGCGTGGTTTTCGTAAAAGCAGCAGAAAAATGGAGGAAAAAGCGTTTAGAAGGATGTATTACGCGGGCGGTGCGAGCAAAAAGGATACGCTCTCGGGCGGATAAGGTAGAATGAAGAAAAGATGGCGCTTATCGCACATCCGCATCGCGCTCGCTTCGGTTTCGGGGCCGTGAAGTTTTTCGGCATGCGAGTTTTCGCTCAACCCGGATGTGAAACTCTCCGCGTTGTTAAAAACACATGCGCTGTATTTTACTCTACCTACAATAAACCCGCATCAGAAACAAAATATTCTAGCTTAAGAACAAATTGAATAAGATCAGAGTAATGTTTCTATGCGAATGCTTATTTTTGTAATCTCCGAGTGTGTTTTCCGGGATTTGTTTGTGCTAAAAGTGTGGAATTTGCTTTTTTTGCGACTGGGATTGGTTGATAGATACTCTGTTTTTGCTTTTCTTTGAGCATACATTTACAATGTGCTTTGTAGCGTTTTGTATGCCATTTCAGCCGTTTGCCGAAGCGTTTGAATCTATTTCCTTATGCGCTATTTATGTACTCCTCGGTTGCGACTGCATAAATAAGCGAGGTGCCATAGAACGACCGATTTTTCAACAAGTAACTGCGTTTTGCTGCTTTTTTTCGAAAACCACCGACGCTGTCGCTTTGAGGTGCTAGCAACGTTCAAGTGGCCACCTTTGAAATTCCAAATAGGAATAGGAAACGAGCATTCTCACGATGTTTGTCAGGTTTTAGCTTTTTTTCTCTTTTGCTGGAAAAACACTCATAACACAATGCGTTTGTAAAAAAACGAAAACATGAAAAGAAAAATTATATTTTTTTGTTTGATTTATGATTTTAGAACGTATAAAATTAATACCTGCAATTTTAGTACGATTATATCATTTTCGTCCTTCTTGGCAAGATCTAGAGGTATAGTAGGTAATATAATCAAAATAGTGCCGGAGGCTATGATAACATTTGTTCGATTTACGCGACAGATGTGCTTCAAGCGAACAAATAAAAGACATTAAAATTTATAGACTTCTATGAAACGCGTTTTAATGCTAGTTTGGCACACATAACCTAAATTCTTATCCTCTATATAAACCAAATCTAAAATTATTATTTAGATTTTGCACATGATTAAATAATTTCATGGAAGTTGACAGAAAACTATTTAACGTGAAATTTTGTAAATGCCATAAATGGAAAACTCATGTAAAACAAAATTTCGTATTTAAATTGCGACACCAATGAGCCTTTGAAAATCAAAAGCGTTTGAGCGCTGGACACGTCGGAGTTGAACAATGTCCGCCGCGGTGTGTTAATGATTCGCATGTTATTTGCATATTCAACGAGTATGGTTAGTTTCAACAATGAGCTGTTAGTTACAAAACAGGCAAACACAAAACAGACAAAATCACCGGCGACCATTCCAAACATTAAAATTAAAGTCAAACTTCAATTTAGGTTACGTAGAAATTCATTACAACTTGTGTAATGTTGGTCATCTACCATATTTTATAAGTAATTATAGATTAATTTAATTTGTAGAAGCTTCTTGGAATAAGATTCCGGCTGATAGTATTGTTTGGATTTTTGTTTACGCGTAATTCGGATTTTTCCTTTGTACTTTGACTCCAAGCCCCCGCATTGTGCGCGGGTTCAAATGTTCAAAGCTTTGGTGAATGTTTCATTGTCCCTTGAAATATTTAATCGCTACACAGCGTCTTGTTCGATCTTGGATGGGTTCAACGCGCCGCCTACAACGAGATGACTATCGTCAAACCTTTGCCGGGTTTAAACAACAAAGCAAAATTTTATAAAACCTTTTTCTCAGCATCAAAGCGGCTGTATTTCGAGGCACGTGTAATCTAAAAACAAAAATTATCTAATTTTAGTGGAAAATACAAAAATAAATTATGGAAATGTGATTTCAGATACACACATTCGCTTTCACTCACGTGTCACACATAAGAACCCTCTGATTCTCTTCGTGCGGCCCACAAAAAGTGCCTTTGCCAAAACGCAAAAAAATGCGACGCAAAAAACTCGTTAATTTTCCAATTTACATTTAACGTCAACTACACGGGCCGGCCGTTCAAAAGGCGCTCGCAAAATGCTATGGCAAAGTGGTACACAGACACACAGGACCCATTTTCCAACGCCAACTCAATTGGTCGATATCGATTCGGTTTTTTGACAGTATGAAAACGTTTAGATTTGAGACGATGCCGCCTCTGCACACTTTTAACGCAATTGTGACTTAATTACATGAAAATTCCAATTTAATCAATTTCAGCTTACGCAAATATAAATTCAACTCTACGTCGAAATATCGCGCACAGTTTCCATTTACTATTTGACTATTAGATTAAAATAGTCGTATCGATAGAAATTTACGGGATTAAATAAAGAGCGCGCGTGTAATGAGCGCGAATAATGAGAAAAGCGAATGAAGCCGTTCGCGTTTTCAGATTGGTGTGTTCATTGAGGTAAATTATTTTAATTAAAATTTAAAGTTGATTATAGGAAATCGCATTCGCCTAGTCGAACGAAGGCGGCGTATTCAACCGTGAAACTGACAGAGATAGACGGCAAGGTAAAGCAAGAAACAACGACGTCTGAAAGAAACGATACTCGGCAACGCGAAAGTGAACAAACGGTGTTCAGGGTCAGAGTGAACGATGGAATCGAAATTAGTTTTCATAGATTGCACGGCGCATGTTGGACGGAAAAGGGTAGCAGGACATCGCGATCGAGAAAGAAAAGTATAGTGCTGGGAAAGCAAATTATCGTCGAATTGCGTTGCTCTTTGATTAATTCTCACTTCACTAGCGCAGCCAACTTTAGACTACATTCTTGTTCGGGCGGTTCGGGATGTTCATTGTGAATTATCGAATGTTGGAAGTGCATTAAAGGTTAAAATTTTATTTGATTTCATTACTTTTCAAATGAGGTTAGGATGTTTCAACTCATTCAACGTATGCAACCAACATAACACGCACAGAAATAATTTTTTTGTAATAAAACCTTTGCTCCAGATATTAAGTAGGTTCATAATAATAAAAGAATGATATCTAAAAATATATTTTTTCTATAAAACTCTCAAACATGCTTCAACAATTAATTATTCCCAAAAGAAACGCAACTTCTTTGAATTTATCCTCCGAATTTTATTTTTAATTTGTTATTTGCACGATCATCGCGTTTTTTTTTTTCTGTTCTGACCCGCATCGGCTGATGAGTTTTAATTAACGTAATGTTCAATATCGACTCGTTAATTAGCATTTCAAAAATTCCCTCCATTGCGCTCGACGTCATCATCATCATCATTATTACCATAGGCCTGAGCGGCGATGGCGGTGGCGGCTCGCAACCGCACACAAAGCGCGTGGCTAAGTGTATAAGTGGCCGGCTAACTTTCGCGGTACGAGTTTTTTTCCTTTTCAATTTAAATTTCATTTTCACTTCAACTGCCAGAGCACAGCGCGCCCGCACCAAAACCTGCGCGCGGTTTTGACGATGGTTTGGTTTGGCTTGAGGGTGGAAGCAATTTCCATTCGCGATCGAGTGCAACTGCCAGCTTTTTTCCATCCGTGGCCCGAGGGGGAGCAATGTTTTATTATGAAAATTTAGCGTTAATTAACGAAGCACAACTTCCAATTAAAAATGCTTTAGTGATTTGACTTTGACTGTACTTTAACAATCATAAATATAAATAAATTAAAGTCCGCAAAGAATGGAAACAAATAAAACGTGAATTTTATTCAAATAAAACTTATAATTAACAGGGAATGTTACTTAATGTGTTTTTTTATTATAGGAGACACGAACAAAATTACTTAATCTATTCGCATTGATTTTCTAACAAAAGCGACGTCCCAGGATCGGATTGGAAGACAACTGATTGGTAGCGACGATTAATTTCTTATGCTCGGCGTACTTCAATTAAAGCGCTTTAATTAAAAGTGATTCTTCACTGTTCGATCGCAAAAACACATTAGAAACTAACGGCGTTTAATCGGCGTCGGTCCCTCTTATTGTTGATGCCAATTTGACTCCTTCAGAACGTGACAAAAACATTTGGTGTATTTCCAGCACGCAGAAGACGCGCGCCATAGGTAAGTACATATTAAATTTATGTAAAGCTGGTCGGATCGTTTAAGAACCAAAATCCATTTGCCATAATCCTTTGAGGTTAATCCCACCATCATCGTCAGCATCCCCAGCACGATACCATCATCGCCCACCGCTTTTCAACGCCGCCGCCTAGACTTAGACTATAAATGGGAGGCAGGCGCAAACGTTTGCAAGTCCGACGTTTAATGGACTGTGATGCGGTGGCGTTGTGACCACGATTGCGATGGCGGTTGAGGAACTAATAGCTTCTTCAAGGGGCGTCGTAATTTTCAACGTATTAAACAGCATACGAGTATATTCCACGTCGATTATCATAAAATGGGAAAACTTGTCTAAATGAATTAATATATTAAAAACTTTCATCCCCTGCTATTTTATACATTATAAAACTTATATTTTCGTAATTTAGTAATAAATTTTAAATTGAATGGATTCGTTGCAATATGAATAAGTTGAAATTATTCATGCGTTACAGTTATAGATTTTGCCTCGGTGCGTAGGTGCTGAAAGAGGTTTTGTAACAAGTGCTTCAATGGCCAAACCTGAGAGTGAGAACGGTATTGAAAAGGGTTGAAACTGTACCAACGAGCGTGTAAAGATTCATCGGTGTGAAATCGCCGATTTAATCGGGAATATGTATAGGTATACATCTCGGCAATATCAAATAAACTACTCATGATATGGAAAGCATGAAAATGATGTAGGAACAGATAATAAACTAATAAACTGTGCGATAACTAACGATATATTATAGGATATATGAAGAGCTATCTGAAATAGGTTAGGAAACACATAATCTTAAATATTTTAGTGTTTCCGTGGAGTTTTAGATAAAATTTGATATTTCAGTGAAGACTCGGTAGATGACTCGTGTTCTGGGCACCGAACGAGGGTGTCGGTAAAAGTGACTTGTGTTCAGGGCACCGTACAAGAGCAGCGGTAGAAGTGACTCGCGTTCACAGCGCGGTACGAGGGTAGCGGTAGAAGTGACTCGTGTTCAGGGCACCGTACTAAGATAACGGTAGAAGCGACTCGTGTTCAAGGCACCGTATGAGGGTAGCGGTAGAAGTGACTCGTATTCAAGGCACCGTACAAGAGAAGCGGTAAAAGTGACTCGTGTTCAAAGCACCGCATGAGGGTAGCGGTAGAAGTGACTTGTGTTCAGGGCACCGTAATCGTCAAAAAATGAAAAATTGCAATTTTAATCACTTTCAGTTGCGTTTTTTGACCTTTTACTCTTAGAAACATAATTATTTTATATTTTTGTCAGATAGAGAATTATCCAATCTTTCATAATCAGTAATTTGGTAGTTGCTATCTCTTTTAGTTTAGGAGATATGTTATTAATTAACGAAAATCGTCGATAAAAATTATACCAAATGCCATTACTTTTAAAACTGCTGGAACAACTTCAAGAACGCCATCAAAAGATCATAATACGAAATTCTGAAGTTATTTCTTGTTACAGTTATGGTTTGACATTCAATCGACTGACTCCTATGATGGATCCCCCTCGATGTGTGTGAACAATTCGGGGACGGGGATTTGGATGGCAGAGGTTGCTTTCAAACCTGTCTACGAAGATGTCCAGTTGAACATAAAATGGATGAAGACGTGCCGCATCTTTGTGAATAAATGACTAATGGTCCCCTCCAAATTGAAAAACAAATTTTCATGAGTAGTTGCCTATTTAGATTTTTAAAATGTAGGAATTGTTTTTTACGTATAAGGATAATTAATTGTTGTTACTTGAAGTGTTGATTAATTTGTTCGGGTGTTATTATATTTTATATTATAATTGACAGCATTTGATTGATTTATTATTTCAAATGTTACCTTTTCTCTCAATTACAGGAATCAAGTGCTGCTTATTTGAGTCGGGAACTAATAATTAAAATGCCCTGAAAAATGGTAATTAACTTAAATTTTGAGGCTTTTTTAGTAGAAAACACTAAAAGCAACTAAAAAGAAAACAACTAAATTTGTATTAACTTTTCTTTTGAATGAATAATGACGAAAAACAGACTCTAACCTAATTCTTAAAATTAATTTTGGACGATGAACAGGGCCGCACTATTTTCATAAAACATTTTAGCTTGAAGAACAGGGTCGCACTTAATTCGAAAAATTATTTCTGGTGGAGATAAATTAAAATTTTCAATTGCAATTATCTCAGAAACTAAAAGGGCTACTATAAAACGGGTTTCAGATTTTAAATACTTGAAGGATTCTCCATCTAATATTTATTTAACATTTTTCCTAACTTTAACCATTTTGGCTTTATTCTTATTTTTTATTAAAAATGTAAATAGGGCTTAATTATTCAATGATAGAAAAAATCATGCATTGATAATCAATATAAAATTAAGTTATCTATTAGAATCCGATATCAGAATTCAAAAATTCCAATTATTTCAAAAGTGGCATTTGCTGAAATAAAAGATTTCGTCATAAAAAAGACAAAACATTTCTTTTTTTGTATGTCGAATACAGTTTTTACTAAAATTGCAAATAGGGCCTGAATGGTTAATGTTAGCAAAAAAAGTTACTGAAATAAACGATGTAAAATTAAATTGTCTATTAGAATCTGAAAACAGAATTCAAAAATTCCAACTTTTAATTGTGAACATAAAAAACCGAAATTTATTATCTGATTATCTCGACAACTAAAAGGCCTAGATAAAAAAGAGCTTCATATTCTTGATCCTTGAAAAATTATCTACAGGATAGCATTCTTATTGAGAAATCATCAAAATGACACAAGAAATTTTTAAAGAAAAGAGTTTGTTATAAAAAAGGCAAAAGATTTCTCTTTTTTATGTTAAAAATTAGAAGTTGGAATTTTGAAATTCCGGTTCTGGATTCTGATAGACAATTTAATTTTACATTGTTTATTTCAGTAGCTTTTTTTGCTAACACTAACCATTTAGGCCCTATTTGCAATTTTGTTGAAAACAGTATTCGACATAAAAAAAGAGAAATGTTTTGCCTTTTTTATGACGAAATCTTTTTTCAGCAAATGCCACTTATGAAATAATTGGAATTTTTAAATTCTGTTTTCGGATTCTGAAAGTAGAATAAATTCTGAATCGGAAACCAGCAGCACAATTATGGATTAAGGCCCTATTGACATGTAAAAACCCATTTTCCTCCTTAAATTGCAAATAGGGCCTTGACGGTTAATGTTAGACAAAAATTTTGCTAAAATAATCGATGCAGAATTTAATTGTCCATCAGAATCCAAAATCAGATTTCAAAATTTCTTTAATTAGAGCTAATTAGATATATATCATTTATTGTTATTTATTTATGTGTTAATTTTGTGTACAAGTTGATCATGGAAGGAAATTTCACTTTGCCTGGAAAACAGGCCTTATATCTTGTACCAATGGAGCATATCACAACATCTTGTGCTCATATGATACTTAAGAGTTCCTTAACAGCTACGAATCTTCTCGACCCTTTCAACCTTCTTCAAGTGTTCTAAAAATGGCTTACAAATCGACATTATTTTCACATTTCAAAAAGTTAATACAACTAATTCACATTTTGGGACTAGAATCTGTGGCATTCATAGATGGCACTAGGATGCACTAAAAATCATAAAATCGAGTTATACGGCTCATTTTTTTGTTTATCGACAAACGTGGGCACGAGAATAGTTTTGTCTACAATGTTGTAATCTACGATTTGGTGTAAACAACGTTTTTAACGCGTGTGTCTCCTAGCGCCGCATCAACTTGCTGCATGCAGCGAAGTCTAGTTTAGTTTAGATCACAGGTAATGTGCCTATTGCAAATTCGCGCACAAGGTCGAGTCTTTGCGCACCTCTTGCTTTCTTATCATATACTATCCCGTCTTTGTTTACGCAGTTTCGGCATGCACTATCGGTGGATTGCAGCCAGTTTCGTGCCGGTTGCTGGTTAATCCAGTCGTGTTTTGAGAGACTTATATCGTTTATTCGGATTTCAATATTCTAAATTTGTGTTATCGAAGATCAATCGATTATTTATTTGTACTTTGCGACTATAATAATTTGTTTAGTGTTCGGAATTGCCGGTTTTTGATCGCGTTTGTTATGTATATTACAAGTCACGTGATAGTGGATTTGATAACATTCTTCACTCGACGTTGTGTTTGGTGTCTCCATGTTGATTCTCATCATTAACAAAGATCCATCAGGCTCGTGTAAGTATTTTTTAACTAAACAGTACAGATTGTTTATTTTGTGTTAATTGTTTATTATAACATAATTTAATTGTATGAAATATTTTTGTTTTAATTTATGTTTTCGTTTAGTTACAGCACTTCGTTGTCAGATTGTAGGCATTTAATTTCTTTATCATTTTCAAAGATAACTTTTGTAATTATCTCACGAATTGACCTTAAAAATTGCATTTTTGTGTTGCAAAGGATTAATTTCTGATGATTTTAGCGATTTTTTACCTGATTCATGCATTGCACAAAACCCATTCTTTCATCAGATAGTAAGTATTGAATTTCTTCTTAATTTTCATAGATTACTTTTGTAATTATCTCACGAATTGACCCAAAAAATTGCATTTTTGTGTTGCAAAGGACTAATTTTTTATAGTTTTAGGGATTTTGCACCAGATTATTGCATCGCACAAGAACCATTTTTCCACCAGATTGTAGGCATTTAATTTCTTTATCATTCTCATAAATAACTTTTGTAATTATCTCACGAGTTGACCCTAAAAATTGCATTTGTGTGTTCCAAAGGACTAATTTTTTATAGTTTTAGAGATTTTGCACCTGATCCATGCATGGCACAAAATCCATTCTTTCATCAGATTGTAAGTAGTAAATTTCTTTATCATTTTCATAGATAACTTCGGTGATTAACTCACGAATTGACTCGAAAAATTGAAGGCCTGGCAAATATTATCTACTTACTACCAGAATTTGAAAAATAATATGTACATTTATAAATATATAATATATTATCTATATAAATATGAATTGTTGTTCGTTAGTCGCACCAATAAACAATGAGCCAATAGCAACACCGCGTGGTCGTTTCAGAGCGCGCATTCAGTTCCATTCCGGTTGCCGAGCGAACCACGCGTGTTCATCGCGACTAGTTTTATTTCTCCCTATTATAAATTGATCGTAAATCGACTTATATTCAATAAGCAATCGACGACATTTATTAGAATTGCGCGTGAACGGAATTTCGCCAGATAATAAGCACGAGTGAACTACTGTCGGTCGTCGGAGATTATTTTTCGCGTGTGGATTATACTGCACTCGTGTTGGCCTGCATGTGCACGGCGTGCGTGCCGTCGGCTGTCGGTTATCGCCCAGAATAACTTTGATTTATGTTTAATTCGAATAAGTAGACCACGGATGTGCCCAGAGAAGAAGTTTACACTTACAACGGCCCTGGAGTTCCGAATACTCATCGCAGAAGAGTTGCAAATGTGCGCATATTGTAAGGCAAGTGTTCCGCGGTATTTAATAGTTGTTGATATTTTTCTATATAAAAACTGTTTTTATTTGTAAATGTTGCCAATAAAATAAATTTAATATAAATGAATATCTCATTCATATTTGTTTTTGGTATCCTCTTTGCCGTTTTCAGTATATGAGCGCTTCACACATATCGATATAGATATTATACGCGTGGAGCGAGTGCAACACAGCTAAGGCTTGTGTTGTTGTTTTTAAAAATATGATAAAAATAGAAACATAAATAGAAGAATCAAATATTAATGATAAAAACACTCGGTGGTCGAGTGGAGACGTGCCATTATTGATATTCTAAAAGTAAAAAGTGAAATTTACTTAAATATTTACTTAGTTGTTTGCTTATTGATGTACCTGGGACCTAAAATTGATATTTCTTATTTATTCTAAGTTATAATGCTAACAAAATTGGTATTTATTTGGCTGATTATTTATGTAATGTTATTTAACATCAGTCCTTCTCAAAGGACTTATAACTGAGTAAACCGATTAAAATATATACTATACTATAGTATAGTAGAGTCCAGTAAACATGAAATAATTTCATTGCTTATTTGTATGCTTGAAAACAGGACCAAGTTTGTTTATACTTTATTGTGCTCGAATAGCATGATCCTATCTATATATTAATTTGAGGAGAGAAATTTAAAAAAAAATTTCAAATTATAAAATTTCAGTTGCTGAACATAATGCTAAATATTATATTATTTTATAAAGTAAAATAAACCTATTAGATATTTTAAGTATTATTTATTATGAATTACAAATTGATTTTGACTTGGTGTAATAATATAAACTTGTATTTATCGCTGAGTGTGTGGATTTAAACAAATGCACTGATAACCAACTCACAAGTCACCTTCCTTTGTGCATTTGCTGCATCAGCACCCCGATACGAAGCAGGTTTGTACATATACAACGCGCTGTAGATTCTACAGACAGTTCAACCAAGTCCGTTTTTGAGGTCGGATAGTCCGGGTGTTATTGTCACGTTTACAATGATATTACTCGGTAAAGTGTACTCTGATACGGTTAATTGTTAAATGCAATTCAAACAAATGTTTATTTGCGAATACTAATGAACACAGGACGTCATGAAAGATTTGATAAATATAAAATATTATGTGCAAACTGATTAAACAAAAGACAACCATATTCCAGAAGAAAATCGATCGAATTCCAGTGCAACAAGGATCCAAATATTACAAACATGGATGAATTTTTGAGAATGGCACAAGAAATTGAACTCACAAACTAAATTATTTAATAGTATCTACTTTACGGTACGATAACCATTCTTTCATCAGATTGTAAGTATAGAATTTCTTTTCATTTAATTTTAATCATTTTCATTCTTCATTTTGTGTTGTTGTTGTTGTGATTGCAATTTTTAGCACTTTCGGTCGCGTTTATATATTATTTACCTCATGAAATTAAATTATTTGAAATTTCCATCAGATAGAGAATTTTTCAATTTACCATAATCTATCTTGCTTGATAATCTATCAACCTTTCGACCTTTTACTGTATCTGATAGAGAATTTTCCAATCTTTCATAATCAACAATTCGTTAGTAGCTATCGCTTTTAGTTTAAGAGATATTAATTATCAAAAATCGTCGAAAAAAAGTATCAAGCACCCCCCCTTGGCCATTTTTTCTTAAGAATTGAAATTTCATTTCACAGACTTCCGTTTTAACTATCCTTCCTGATAGAGAATAGTCCGTAGATTAAGACGCTGCGATCAGATCCTATTTATCTCTTTTAGTTTACGAGATATTCGCGATTGAATAAAATGGGCAAAAATTGAAAATTGTCACTTTTGAGCACTTCTAGTCGCGTATTTCGACCTCTTACTGTAGGAAATATAATTATGTTATATTTTTATCTGATAGAGAATTTTCCAATCTTTCATAATCAACAGTTCGTTCGTAGCTATCGCTTTTAGTTTAAGAGATATTAATTATCAAAAATCGTCGAAAAAAAGTATCAAGCACCCCCCCTTGGCAATTTCTTCTTCAGAATTAAAATTTTATCTCTCAGATTTCAGTTTTAACTAACCTATCTGATAGAGAATAGTCCGTAGATTAAGACGCTGCGATCAGATCCTATTTATCTCTTTTAGTTTACGAGATATTCGCGATTGAATAAAATGGGCAAAAATTTTTTGGGATTTTTGGGATTTTGAACCTGATCCATGCATAACACAAATACCATTCTTTCGTCAGATTGTAAGTATTGAATTTCTTTATCATTTTCATAGATAACTTGTGTAATTATCACACGAATTGACCCTAAAAATTGCATTTTTGTGTTCCTAATGACTAATTTTTGATGATTTTAGGGATTTTGCACCTGATCTATGCATCGCACAAAAACCATTCTTCTAACGGATTGTGAGTATTGAATTTCTTAATCATTTTCATAGATAACTTGTGTATTTATCTCACGAATTGACCTTAAAAATTGAATTTTTGTGTTGCAAAGGACTAATTTTTGATGATTTTAGGGATTTTGCACCAGATTCTTGCATCGTACGGAAACCATTCTTTCATCAGATTGTAAGTATTGAATTTCTTTATTATTTTCATACATAACTTTTGTAATTATCTCTCGAATTGACCCTAAAAATTGCATTTTTGTGTTCCAAATGACTAATTTTTGATGATTTTAGGGATTTGGCACCTGATCTATGCATCGCACAAAAACCATTCTTTCATCACATTGTAAGTGTTAAATTTCTTTATCATTTTCATAGATAACTTCGGTGATTAGCTCACGAATTGACTCGAAAAAATGAAAGCCTGGCAAATGTTATCTAGTTACTACCAGAATTTGAAAAATAATTGAAATATGTACATTTATAAGTATATAATATCTATATAAATATGAATTGTCCGTTAGTCGCACTAATAGTAAACTGAATTGTTTTTAAAAATTTTATTTGCTTCCGAAAATGGTCTTCATCTTGCAATTAATTAGCTGTAGTTGGAAGCGCCGTAGAAATACTGCCTAGTGTGCTAGCTTTGACAATATTACATTGTTATCCAGGTATAGTTTAGATAGAAGAATATTTGTATGCATGTAAACAATGAGCCAATAGCAACACCGCGTGGTCGTTTCAGAGCGCGCATTCAGTTCCATTCCAGTTGCCGAGCGAACCACGCGTGTTCATCGCGACTAGTTTTATTTCTCCCTATTATAAGTTGATCGTAAATCGATTTGTATTCAATAAGCAATCGACGACATTTATTAGAATTGCGCGTGAACGGAATTTCGCCAGATAATAAGCACGAGTGAACTACTGTCGGCCGTCGGAGATTATTTTTTGCGTGCGGATTATACTGCACTCGTGTTGGCCTGCATGTGCACGGCGTGCGTGCCGTCGGCTGTCGGTTATCGCCCAGAATAACTTTGATTTATGTTTAATTCGAATAAGTAGACAAAGGATGTGCCCAGGGAAGAAGTTTACACTTACAACGGCCCTAGAGTTCCGAATATTCATCGCAGAAGAGTTGCAAAACTTCGCATATTGTAAGGCAAGTGTTCCGCGGCATTTAATATATTTGTCGATATTTTTCTATATAAAAACTGTTTGTATTTGTAAATGTTGCCAATAAAATAAATTTAATATAAATGGAATATATAAATTTCATATTTGTTTTTGGTATCCTCTTTGCCGTTTTCAGTATATGCAAGCGTTTCACACATCGATATAGATATTATACGCGTGGAGCGAGTCAAGCAAACACAGCTAAGGCTTGTGTTGTTGTTTTTAAAAAATTGATAAAAATAGAAACATAAATAGAAGAATCAAATATTAATGATAAAAACACTCGGTGGTCGAGTGGAGACGTGCACCTGCTGGCATGCTAGCAGACACGGATCGAATCTCAGGTATAGAAGGCATTTTTCTCAAATATAAAAATATCAGGTGTAATTTGGGTTGTATATATGAATTGCAACGAAATATAAGAGAAATTGAAATACAAGTGAAGAGCAATAGAGAAATAAGAAAGCAAGTGGAGGTGCAGGAGAACAGAAGAAATAGAAGAAGAAGTAGCAGAGAAAAGTAGAAGACAGATGGAAGAGAACAGAGTAGTAGAAGAGGAGGGAGATAGAAGAAAGAGAACAGGGAGGATCAGATTTTTTAAATTTTTTGGCCCGTGTCGTTAGACAGTTCTCCGCACTGCTTCGATGCGTCCATTGCTCCCCGGCCAACCTACAGCTACGATGTCTCTGCGCTTCATCCCCGAAATTATCAGGCATATCAACAATTTTTATGGTGGGGGATCACCCCCAGAGAGGGGGAACTCCTTATAAGGACAATCCTTATAAGGTCTTGTTCAAATATTTCTAAGTTTTAAGTCGCCTCAAGACAGGTGACACTTAAAAATATTCTTACAAGTTCTGACCTGTAGCTGAAATGAAAGAAGGAGTACACAAATCATACAGGTTACCTTAACAATTTTTATAGAGGGGATCATCCCCTGAGAGAGGGAACTCTTTTAGAGACCTCTACCTGAAATGATAGAAGGGGTACATTCGGTTACGTATTTACTACACACACAAATTCGAAATATTGGACACCGGGTTAAGTCCACCGCGAGCCCCACATCACCTTTGGAAGTAGATGCTTGGATGTTGTATACCCATCTAGGAATGGGCAGATACTTCTGTCGGTGGTGAGGGGCACATAAACAACACACACTACACTTGGAGGTGATGACAGATGCACCCATCTGGAACCTCTTAGGGAACTCGGGCGTCTTGTCAATTCGTTATAATGGACAACCGCGTCCTTTCGCGTTAGAATCTCGCGAACGACAAAGTACACACATCAACACACACATTTATTACACTCATTACACTTATTTAACACTTATTGAAGAAGTGGAGTCGACAGAAACATTTATTGTTGTGATTTGTTTAATTGGCTTAGTATTTGTTTTAGTTTTTCGTAATTTTATGAAGAAACATCGTGAAATGAAGAAGATTCGGAAGATGTATAATGGAAGATGTCACACTCAAGTAAAAAGAAAGCGTTTGACAAATATTGAAGAGATCTTTATGTTTTATATTTTGTGTCGTTTTGGGTTTGTGTTTCATATGTTTATGAACAGTTCGTAGTGTAGTGTAGTAGTAGAAAGCACGTAGTCGTAGTAGTAGCAAGTAGTAATAGTTGTAGTTATAGACTAGTAGTAGAGTAGTGGACTGTGAAATGAACATTTGAAATGCTAACAAATTCTACACAATTTACAAATGATTAAAGAAGCTTCATGATAGAAAGATCCCAATGGAAATTGTCAAGCAAATCGTTAATCGAAGAAGGAGGTTTCCAAGCAACTTGGCAGTTACATAGTTTAGTATTTTGTTTTTCATTAAAATATAATGTTTTGATTTCATGTTTTATTTTATTGTTCAATAATCAAAATATTAGTCAATCTAACAAGTGCACTTCAAACATATCTTTTGTCAGTTTGTTAAGTATACGAAAACATTTCTAGAAATTATTAAATTATTGTTCCCTTGATATACTAAATATGAATGTATTAATTTTTTTGGAAATTTTTTATAGTAAACTCTGATTCACAGATTTAAATGTGTTATTTACTGCAGCCACCTCCTGAGCATGCAGAATTTTTTAGGTTTGAACGTGCTTCTTGATGAATCGCCCATAAGTGGATTATATTCTAAAAACATTATTTAAGATGAAAACATAACATAATACATAAACTTTCAATTAATATTTACCTGATTTTCCTAGTTTACTTCCACCTCCTTTACCATCATGTCTTGCAAGATATTCTTCACACTTTTTAGCTTCTTTCTACATGTTATCATTGGAAATTTAAATAAATTTTTAATTTAATGGGAAGTATATTATATAAATGATTGTAGAGTATGTACTAACCTCCTTTTGTTTCAGGACATATCATTCAATGTACTGTTCTTGTTCTTCAGTGCTTCTTCCCTGGCAACTCTTAGACTTGAAAATTTATCAGTTTCTGAAGGAAAAATGATGAACAATTATTAACAAACTGTGCAATACTTTAAAGGTAAAAAAAATATATTTTTTGACATTCTGTTCATACTCATATCTATCCCTTTTCTTTTCATATTCTTCGAGACTAATGGACTTATTCTGCTGTAGATATAGGCAGATACCATCCGTAATTCTCAAAGAAGAAAACAACTGCAAAAAAAGATAAGTGATAAGTACAGGTGCTTACTATGTGATTTATTTCTAATTTTTTTATTTGTTTTAGTTCAGTTCCGGTGCAAAAGTTGATACTCACTATAATTAATTGGATTTTGTGAGACTTCTTCCTCTTCAGCTATGACTTCTTCATATTGCGCTGACATTTTGTATATTACTATGTGAGATTATGTTTTTATAGGCGGGCATTGACATCGTCGAGAGTGTGGATCGGATTGTAATTTGTATTTTTATTTCTCTTTCTTTTTTATTGTGGAGACATAGTCTCCGATTGTTATTACATTTTATGGTATTTTATGGTTCTACATGTTTTTATCCTATTCTTGTATAGCTTAGATTTAGTGCCATTAATTCTACTTATTGGTAAATGACGAGTGAGCGATTAACTGTTTTGCAACACTCACACGTACACACACGCATGCACGTAATGAAGAGCGGCCCGTCGGTGCGTATGTATGTAAACGAAACAACTTAACACTACCTGCTATTGGTTATTGTACAAAAAAAAATTAAATGAATCATTTATTAAATACTGGTTTGTTTCGGGTATGACTTTCGTTGTTTTCAATTTCATTGCAATATCAACCTTGTTGCATATTTGATAAATGTGTTTTGAAGTTGATAAATATTTTCAAAGGTTAGATGGCGCTACGATGTACGGTTTTGCAATAAATATTGCTTGTTGGTGGTAGTGAGTGCACACCGTGTCCATGTGGATCCCGCGATTTCGCGCAAGAGATAAGTTTGTTTACCTGCAGGTATCGAATCTTTATTTCGTGGAATCAAAACACACCATTGCTGTTTATTATATTAGCATCGTAAATTTAAGCAAATATTATTTAATTCTTTCATGAATATAACTAACAATTTTATACTTCCGCCTTTCCAGATTTCCGCTTGAACTAGCCTATCTTAAAGAGAATAGTCCGTAGATTAAGACGCTGCAAACAGATCTTATTTATCTCTTTTAGTTTACGAGATATTCGCGTGTGAATAAAATGTGCAAAAATTGTAAAATGTCACTTTTTAGCACTTTTACTCGCGTTTTTCGACCTTTTACTGTAGGAAATATAATTATTTTATATTTTTATCTAATAGAGAATTTTCCAATCTTTCATAATCAACGATTCGTTGGTAGCTATCGCTTTTAGTTTAAGAGATATTAATTATCAAAAATCGTCGAAAAAAAGTATCAAGCACCCCCCCTTGGCACTTTTTTTCTTAAGACTTAAAATTTTGTCTCTCATATTTCCCTTTTAACTATCCTATCTGATAGGAAATAGTCCGTAGATTAAGACGCTGCGATCAGATCTTATTTATCTCTTTTAGTTTACGAGATATTCGCGATTGAATAAAATGGGCAAAAATTGATAAATGTCACTTTTTAGCACTTTTAGTCGCGTTTTTCGACCTGTTACTGTGAGAAATATAATTATTTTATATTGTTATCTGATAGATAATTTTCCAATCTTTCATAATCAACAATTCGTGGGTTGCTATCTCGTTTACTTTAAGAGATATAAATTATCAAAAATCGTCGAAAAAAAGTATCAAGCACCCCCCCTTGGCAATTTTTTTCTTAAGACTTAAAATTTTGTCTCTCATATTTCCCTTTTAACTATCCTATCTGATAGGAAATAGTCCGTAGATTAAGACGCTGCGATCAGATCTTATTTATCTCTTTTAGTTTACGAGATATTCGCGATTGAATAAAATGGGCAAAAATTGATAAATGTCACTTTTTAGCACTTTTAGTCGCGTTTTTCGACCTGTTACTGTGAGAAATATAATTATTTTATATTGTTATCTGATAGACAATTTTCCAATCTTTCATAATCAACAATTCGTGGGTTGCTATCTCGTTTAGTTTAAGAGATATTAATTATCAAAAATCGTCGAAAAAAAGTATCAAGCACCCCCCCTTGGCAATTTTTTTCTTAAGACTTAAAATTTTGTCTCTCATATTTCCCTTTTAACTATCCTATCTGATAGAAAATAGTCCGTAGATTAAGACGCTGCGATCAGATCTTATTTATCTCTTTTAGTTTACGAGATATTCGCGATTGAATAAAATGGGCAAAAATTGATAAATGTCACTTTTTAGCACTTTTAGTCGCGTTTTTCGACCTGTTACTGTGAGAAATATAATTATTTTATATTGTTATCTGATAGACAATTTTCCAATCTTTCATAATCAACAATTCGTGGGTTGCTATCTCGTTTAGTTTAAGAGATATTAATTATCAAAAATCGTCGAAAAAAAGTATCAAGCACCCCCCCTTGGCAATTTTTTTCTTAAGACTTAAAATTTTGTCTCTCATATTTCCTTTTAACTATCCTATCTGATAGAAAATAGTCCGTAGATTAAGACGCTGCGATCAGATCTTATTTATCTCTTTTAGTTTACGAGATATTCGCGATTGAATAAAATGGGCAAAAATTGATAAATGTCACTTTTTAGCACTTTTAGTCGCGTTTTTCGACCTGTTACTGTGAGAAATATAATTATTTTATATTGTTATCTGATAGACAATTTTCCAATCTTTCATAATCAACAATTCGTGGGTTGCTATCTCGTTTAGTTTAAGAGATATTAATTATCAAAATCGTCGAAAAAAAGTATCAAGCACCCCCCCTTGGCAATTTTTTTCTTAAGACTTAAAATTTTGTCTCTCATATTTCCCTTTTAACTATCCTATCTGATAGAAAATAGTCCGTAGATTAAGACGCTGCGATCAGATCTTATTTATCTCTTTTAGTTTACGAGATATTCGCGATTGAATAAAATGGGCAAAAATTGATAAATGTCACTTTTTAGCACTTTTAGTCGCGTTTTTCGACCTGTTACTGTGAGAAATATAATTATTTTATATTGTTATCTGATAGACAATTTTCCAATCTTTCATAATCAACAATTCGTGGGTTGCTATCTCGTTTAGTTTAAGAGATATTAATTATCAAAAATCGTCGAAAAAAAGTATCAAGCACCCCCCCTTGGCAATTTTTTTCTTAAGACTTAAAATTTTGTCTCTCATATTTCCCTTTTAACTATCCTATCTGATAGAAAATAGTCCGTAGATTAAGACGCTGCGATCAGATCTTATTTATCTCTTTTAGTTTACGAGATATTCGCGATTGAATAAAATGGGCAAAAATTGATAAATGTCACTTTTTAGCACTTTTAGTCGCGTTTTTCGACCTGTTACTGTGAGAAATATAATTATTTTATATTGTTATCTGATAGACAATTTTCCAATCTTTCATAATCAACAATTCGTGGGTTGCTATCTCGTTTAGTTTAAGAGATATTAATTATCAAAAATCGTCGAAAAAAAGTATCAAGCACCCCCCCTTGGCAATTTTTTTCTTAAGACTTAAAATTTTGTCTCTCATATTTCCCTTTTAACTATCCTATCTGATAGAAAATAGTCCGTAGATTAAGACGCTGCGATCAGATCTTATTTATCTCTTTTAGTTTACGAGATATTCGCGATTGAATAAAATGGGCAAAAATTGATAAATGTCACTTTTAGCACTTTTAGTCGCATTTTTCGACCTGTTACTGTGAGAAATATAATTATTTTATATTGTTATCTGATAGACAATTTTCCAATCTTTCATAATCAACAATTCGTGGGTTGCTATCTCGTTTAGTTTAAGAGATATTAATTATCAAAAATCGTCGAAAAAAAGTATCAAGCACCCCCCCTTGGCAATTTTTTTCTTAAGACTTAAAATTTTGTTTCTCATATTTCCTTCTTAACTATCCTATCTGATAGAAAATAGTCCGTAGATTAAGACGCTGCGATCAGATCTTATTTATCTCTTTTAGTTTACGAGATATTCGCGATTGAATAAAATGGGCAAAATTGATAAATGTCACTTTTAGCACTTTTAGTCGCGTTTTTCGACCTGTTACTGTGAGAAATATAATTATTTTATATTGTTATCTGATAGACAATTTTCCAATCTTTCATAATCAACAATTCGTGGGTTGCTATCTCGTTTAGTTTAAGAGATATTAATTATCAAAAATCGTCGAAAAAAAGTATCAAGCACCCCCCCTTGGCAATTTTTTTCTTAAGACTTAAAATGTTGTCTCTCATATTTCCTGTTTAACTATCCTATCTGATAGAAAATAGTCCGTAGATTAAGACGCTGCGATCAGATCTTATTTATCTCTTTTAGTTTACGAGATATTCGCGATTGAATAAAATGGGCAAAAATTGATAAATGTCACTTTTTAGCACTTTTAGTCGCGTTTTTCGATCTTTTACTGTAGAAATATAATTATTTTATATTGTTATCTGATAGACAATTTTCCAATCTTTCATAATCAACAATTCGTGGGTTGCTATCTCGTTTAGTTTAAGAGATATTAATTATCAAAAATCGTCGAAAAAAAGTATCAAGCACCCCCCCTTGGCAATTTTTTTCTTAAGACTTAAAATTTTGTCTCTCATATTTCCCTTTTAACTATCCTATCTGATAGAAAATAGTCCGTAGATTAAGACGCTGCGATCAGATCTTATTTATCTCTTTTAGTTTACGAGATATTCGCGATTGAATAAAATGGGCAAAATTGATAAATGTCACTTTTAGCACTTTTAGTCGCGTTTTTCGACCTGTTACTGTGAGAAATATAATTATTTTATATTGTTATCTGATAGACAATTTTCCAATCTTTCATAATCAACAATTCGTGGGTTGCTATCTCGTTTACTTTAAGAGATATTAATTATCAAAAATCGTCGAAAAAAAGTATCAAGCACCCCCCCTTGGCAATTTTTTTCTTAAGACTTAAAATTTTGTCTCTCATATTTCCCTTTTAACTATCCTATCTGATAGAAAATAGTCCGTAGATTAAGACGCTGCGATCAGATCTTATTAATCTCTTTTAGTTTACGAGATATTCGCGATTGAATAAAATGGGCAAAATTGATAAATGTCACTTTTAGCACTTTTAGTCGCGTTTTCGACCTGTTACTGTGAGAAATATAATTATTTTATATTGTTATCTGATAGACAATTTTCCATTCTTTCATAATCAACAATTCGTGGATTGCTATCTCGTTTACTTTAAGAGATATTAATTATCAAAAATCGTCGAAAAAAGTATCAAGCACCCCCCCTTGGCAATTTTTTTTTTAAGACTTAAAATTTTGTCTCTCA